GGTTGTAAATCGTGTTTTTAAAAAGTAACTAAGTAATTAATTACTTTTGAAAATAAGTAATCAGCAAAGTAACGGGATTACTTTTGGGGGGTAAGTAATCATTAATTAGTTACTGATTACTTTTTTCAAGTAACTTGACCAACACTGATACTCAGTGCCTGCTTCTCCTTCCTCACTCCTCAGATTTGAATGTTTTCACAAATCTGACTTGTGCTGCTTCACCTGTCAACATCCCGTGTATAGTACTGTATGTTCAAATGGCGCTGCTGGGCAAATCAGTATTTCAGTCCATTTCCATTTCTGTGCTCTACTGATTTAGTCTGTCTGTTCCCGTTAGCCTTAGCTTGTTTGTCCTCGTGCTCAGCCTAGCCAAATTATACCTTTCATTGTGTGCCCGCTACTCTTTCACAATCAGTGGCGGCATTTACATGAACACAAGAAACCAGGTTACAGGCAGAGATCGGCTCACGGAGTGAAAAACACTGCTGTCTGGAGTGTTATTTATTTATTTGTTGTCAGAGCATTCAAAGTAAAAGGTGCGGTGAGACAGCAACGTAACAGGAGCCACTGCTTGTAGCTTCCTCACAGTGAGAATACAGAAGAGTTTTAACTTTGGGGTGTGAAAACTGACTGCCAAGAGAGACCGAAACCATCAGTGTTTGTGTCATTTTCAAGTCTGGCTTGATGCAAAGATGCACTGCTGTCACTTATCCTGTTGCACTGCTCCAACAGCAATACTGATGAACATTTGCTAATACACAGACATATAATAGCCTCATTGCATATTCATATTCATGTGAAGCAGTTTCGATGCAGAGGTTATAGATGCGTGAGATGTTTTTGGAAGAGAGGGAAAGGGAGACGGAGATACCAGTGAGACACTGTCGTTTGGAGTGCCCCGAAATTTGGTTGCTGCAAAGACAAAGTTGATATTGGGCTAAAACAACTCTTGGTAATAGTTAGGAAAAGCTTATGGTTGAAGATATTAAAATAAAATCATGATTATTTGTAATAACTGTGATTCACCTGTGATTGCTAACTGACGCTCTGGCACAGAACTCACAGAGATCAGTCCACAAACATGACTTACACCCTTATATGTTTGTAAACGCTGGCACCGGGTGGAAATCGTGAACTTTGAAGTAGAAATCGATTGCTAGCTTACAGTTACATGGTGAAAAAATTAAACCTAACTCATATTTAGTCAGCAATAAGGTGCAAAAAGATGGATCTAAGCACCAGAGAATGTTGGACGTCTTTGAAGGTGTAAGTTAGGCACTTTGGCTGTCACCGTGTCCATATGCTAACGCACACACCTGCTACAGTTGGTAAATAACTCTATACATTACAAAGCAAAACATCCTGCTGTAAAAGCTAATACTTGGGTGTAATAACTGAGAGCATAAACATGTTAGCAAAATATTTACTGACACCATAAATCGAGTAAGAAGTAGGGTCATTTTCTCACAGACTTGTACGCAATCTTTTTGCAATCTGAGGATTCGTTTGTCTTCTTTATATAGATATAAAAATCTCGCTTATGCAGAAAGCGAGCACTAACCTGCCTGTATCAGCTCAATGAAGGCAATAACTGCTTATTAAACCACTACTGTTATTCCACACTTTAGCCTCTACTTTCTTTGTGTCAATTATGGCGAGCGTCTGTATGGAAAATGAATAAAAGTGTGGAGAAGTCCAATTTTTTGTGCAACAGTATAGGCACTTGGGTCTTTCTTGAACATAAACGCTTTCGCCCTCTTTCCAGGACTGACCATTCCCCTCAGCATTATCAGTGTCTAAATCCAGCTGTAATCTAGAGCAGAGCTTCATTATCTTTGTGTAATAATTCATAATCCTCTGCCAAGACAAGCCTTTGCTGCCATGTTCAGATTAAACTTGGGGTCCCTCTTCCTTATGATACCCTCATCACACACGCTTCTGCTCTCCATCAAAGTGTGCAAAAATAGCGGTGGGTGGAGAAGGTGCCTTTTCAGACTCAAAGGAAATCGCATCCTTGTTTTATCTCCGCAGTGTTTTTCCGAGACATGAAAACCTCTCCGAAAACCACAGCGGAGGTTTAGTGGGCCAACAGAGAGGATCCTGCAAGCGATAAGAGAGGATGATGCGAGGGTGCTAATTCCCAAGATAACATTCACAGACAAATCTCTCTTTTGATGGGTTGAAACACAATCAGATTGCAAAAGTCTATGAAGCACAGTTCAAATATAGACCCCGGAGCGAAGCGGCAGCAGCTACGGGGGAATTACAGAGAGATTGTGTGCAAGCGAGGTGAGATAAGTGACCAGCCTTTTATCTTTAATGGGAGCTCATTACATGTACAAGCGTTAACCGTCATTTTCATTAATCTATTGCCCTACAGATCATTTCTTAATAAATCCCTTGTTTCTGTTGATAAATTCAGAATACGATCCCTTTTGTTAATCGTACAACACTGAGAAATGTACAAAGAAGGAGCATGCGTGCATTTTATTTGCAGGTAGGTGTGCACGCCTACTCATCGAGGCTTAAAAAAGCAGTGTTTTCTCTAATTGAAGGTTGTGCATATACGACAAATGGAGAGGAGGGAAAATCCAGCACGTCCCACAGAAAAAGAAAACAAATAAATTCATGCGACTTCTCTCCGTCATGCATTTTGTTGAGCTAACACTAGGTTTCCCAGAGAGGCGTGAAAAAGAAACGAGCAGCCTTTCTTTAAAACATTTCCAAACTGTCACGTTGTCTTCTCTTTCATGACTTTTTTACTTCTTTGCTGCTGTTTTCTTAAAGGTTACTGCATTAAAAAAAACAAACTACTTGTATCATGAAGCTTATGCCTCTCTGTCTCACTCAGACTCTATGCAGCAGTGGCCAAATGTCTCCATGGCAACCCAGACAACCGTATTATGGGAGAGCGATGCCGCTGTCTGTCGGTCCACCTGCGCTTATGTGAAATCTTACATTAGGTGGCGAGTAAGCGAGTAGGTGAGCGAGTGCGTGCAGGTCAGTGACTCAGTCTGAATACATGTGTTTGAGCATGTGAGTGTGAGGCTGAGTAAGCGAGTAAGCATGACCTCCTGTATATTTTGCACAACCTGCTCACGCGTTCGTACCCAAACTATGTGGGATTTTCATGCAGCATCTGTGAAAGCATGCATGAGTGTGCGTTTCCATGGCAGGGAGTTGGAATGCAGTGCAGTGGAGCGCACGGATATTCTCTGGACAAGGGCAGAAGCCA